CATCACAATACATCCTCTACTTCTTCCCTTTTCAGGTATTCGAGTATGTGGATCGCGACCTCAAGCAGTATATGGACGCCTGTAATAACGTACTCACGATGAATAACATCCGGGTGTGTTCGGCTTTATCGTTGTTCTGATGTTTTTTCGTTCATTTCAAATTTTTCGTTTCTGACTATTTCCTGTTTCCTGCCTACCTTTGATTTTATCGTATAAGGCCACTTATTTGTTGTTTATATGATGGAGCATAATCAGCTATTTTTCAGCTATTTCTTTTCCAACTGTTACGGGGTTTGGCTTACTGTCACCAACGCCGAGTACTCCACCGTGACCTGAAACCACAAAATCTTCTAATTACCGCGAAAGGAGAGCTCAAACTGGCTGACTTTGGCTTGGCCCGAGCCAAGTCTGTACCGACGAAGACGTACTCGAATGAGGTGGTGACGCTGTGGTACCGCCCTCCGGACGTGCTCTTAGGTAAGAATTTGTTATTTACTTCAAGCCGTGTTCTGCTACAAGTGTTCAAGCTTGTACTCTTTGTTGTTGTTTATGTTGGAATTCTCTGATTCCACTTGGTATCTCGGGAATTGAATCAGAATTGCTCTTTACGCTGCATTCACGGCCATAACAACCAACCATCGCAATTCCTTGTATGCTTATTTGTTTTGAAGGATTAAGTATGACATTCTTAGAATCTCGTACGCGTTCCTAATTATTCAGTCCCGTCTGAGGGATGCGCCCCCACACCCGGCTTGCATTCGAATCGTAGGGACGCCTTGAATGCGTATGTGGCCTATACAAGTTCGTCTAGGCGGATGACGGTCCGAGATATGAACCTGTGAACATGATTGTGTGATAGTGCGCCAATTACCATTACACCATCACCACCAGTTAATAGAGCGATATCAGGAACGATGCCGTTTCGGGTTATGGTGAAAGAGAAATGCAGGCATGACTGGATCCGTGAACTAGTTCGCTCAATGAAACAGTACGAAAGCATCGAACTCGCTTGCTGTTCCAGCAGTTCATCCGGCGCGATCGCAAACCACATTATCCTCATCGCTTAATAATGGGAAAGGCCAAGGAGCACAGATTCTCTAATCTGTGGCACATCGCATATATGAGCACGACTCCGTGCCCCTCTATCGTCCACGACAACCGTCGGTAACATTACTGGTAATCGTGCAAGAGCACAAGTACTCATTTCCGCCTCGCCGCTTGTTGGCTTGCATCATGGAGGGAGAGCCAGAGCTTGAGCACAGAGCACGGTTATGATGTCCGGGCCTTCTTGGTTCTTTCAAGCGTTGTGAGAGAGATCCCAGCAGCTAGCCGATGAAGCAGCTTATAGTCAAAAAATACAACCAGCCACGCGCTCTCCTGGCTCCCTGTGGGAAATGTGAGTGCAAATGGCCCATCACGGAATATCTGCAAACATTGATTACATCAGATGTGCAAAACACATCGCTCAGAGGCTAGGGATGGCCTCAGCCAAGCTCAATCCCTTGAAATTTTCTGTTCCCTTGCGGACATGCCCTTGTATGCGTAAGTGGCAATTTGGTAACCTGGTGCCGACTATCAGTCCCCTCTGTACTGTATAGGTCCCTTTTCAATGCACAGCTTCTTGCCCACTCCTTGATAGCGATCGACTCAATACAAACTCTTAAAAGTTGAATCTGGCAGTCGTGGGCATGCCGCAAATTGCTTCCCAGGTCCTAAGCGAGCCCTCATTACGGCAGCATCGGGTAGGACCGCTCGAAAAAGGCTTCTGAAATTTTGAGGTCAAGTAGGCTACTCAAACGATCCTGGGCTAATTGGAAGGTGGCGACTTGCACTTTACATCACCAACGATCGGTGATACAAACCAGTGATCACCACGTCGCCAGATGAGCGAAATGGGTAGGCATTGCATGATGGTGACAAGGGGGGAAAATGGAGAGCTATTTCTTTGTTCATGCTACGGCACGAAAATGGGCTGTGATGATAACCCCCTCTACACGCACGTGGTAGTAAACATTGATGCATACGAAACCATCAGTCCCATTTTCGACAATCTTCGTCGCCTATGCGCCGATATAGGGCTAAAGCGGTGTTGGGCTTACGTACCTACTGGGCTCTCCCAACAAGACCATTTTTTGGGATTGTCAACAGTAACAAAATCCGTGGTCGGCTCCAGAATAGCGGCTGAATGATTTTCTATCGGGTACCTTGTAACAGAACGAGGACTGCCTGAGTCCATCATGCTCATCTGTCGTAAATCACAGCTCTGAACTCTATTGACGATGGTGTCATTGTATGTCATCTGGTGGGCTTCTCTATAACGAGGTAGTGATATTATTTCCGTTGAACATTTTGCTTGGATGATGTTGTCTGTAGGGGATCACCCGATTTGTCTTTTCACTGTTCGAAGAGGAAGCCGTCAAGTTCAAGAAAAAAATCCAAAGGTTCAACTAAGATCGTGCCCATTCTTTTGCTATTCCTTTTGGGAAATTCTGATCGACAACATCGTCAAGGAAGTGTTTATTGGGCACTGGGCGGAGGAGATGTAGATAATGCCAAGTGGCACGCTATCACGTGCGTTGCTGAGGGTCGGATCTCACTCTGAGTTCCATCCGTGTCAATCAAGCCTCTATCCCTGCGGGTTTAATTCGCACCATACTGTTCTAGGACGTACAAAAACTTCAAGGGTCTTACTCATCGGATAGCCATCGCGGGTTATTTCACAGAGCACATACCCATTCAAATCCTCAAACCGATTCTGAACTAAAAACGAATAAGAAGGCGCATTCTAGAGCATGGTAGATGGAAGTGTGGGGGTTATAATTTAGATCCTTAACTGGTCACCAAGAGACGTCTTTTCGAGTACTCATTAGCGGTTCTGTGGTGATCGCTGGATGTAGGTTGTTGGTAAAAGATAACATCGATTTTTTGAGTTGAGGGAGCTCTGAGAACTTGCTATCATTAGGACAGCTACGATATCACCGGACGATTGTTCGCGCTT